GAGATGAGTGTAGACCGCAGAGTCCTGGCCTGATGATGTTGATCTTCTGTGCTGGGCCATCCTTTTGTCCAGTGGCTGTTTAGCCTGAGGAAGTCTTTCGGATGAAAGACGAAACTTTCTACTTTTTTTTTTGTTTTGCTTTGTTTTGTTTTTGAATGTCCAGAGGACCAGATTTACCTTTTTTAGAGTCTAGGTGGAGTTTGCATGTTCTCTCCGTGCATGCGTGGGTTTTCTCCGGGTACTCCGGTTTCCTCCCACAGACCAAAAACATGCATGTTAGGTTGATTGGTAACGCTAAATTGTCCATAGGTGTGAGTGAGAGAGTGAATGGTTGTTTGTCTCATTTGTCTCTATGTGGCCCTGTGATGGACTTGCGACCTGTCCAGGGTGTACCCCGCCCCTCGCACAGTGATTGCTAGACATGGGCACCGGCGACCCCCGTGACCCAAAAATGGAAGAAGCAGGTAAAAGATAATGGATGGATGGATGGATGGATGGATGGATGGATGGATGGATGGATGGTTTGCAGCCGAGTGTAATGCGGCCGGGATGAGTATCAGTTCCTTCAAATCCGAGGCCATGGTCTTGAGCCGGAAAAGGGTAGAGTGTCCTCCCCGGGTCGGGGAGGATGTCCTGCCCCAAGTGGAGGAGTTTAAGTATCTCGGAGTCTTGTTCACGAATGTGGGAAAAATGGAGCGTGAGATCGATAGGTGGATAGGTGCAGCATCGGCAGTGAAGCGGGCGCTGTATCGGTCTGTCGTGGTGAAGAGAGAGCTGAGTCAAAAGGCGAAGCTCTCAGTTTACCGGTTGATCTACGTTCCTACCCTCATCTATGGTCATGAGCTTTGGGTTGTGACAGAAAGAATGAGATCTCGGATACAAGTGGCCAAAATGAGTTTTCTCCGCAGGGTGTCTGGGCTCTCCCTAACTCCAGATCAGCATGCCCTTTAACAGGGTGGACATTTGATCCTTTTCTTGTGCAAGGAAATTTATTAAAAAAAACAGGACAGCATGATATCCTGAGCTTGACCAACATCATTTTCTTATAGTCTAACAAGCCCTTTAGATTAAATAATAAAATCAAGATTATTATATATTTTTTTAAAGTTAGCATGGTCAAATGGCACCAAATAGTAGGAATGACCCAGCTATTGAACCTGTCTGACTGCATTCCTGAGCCACAGGTAATCCATCCATCCATCCATCCATCCATCCATTCTCTTCCGCTTATCTGGGGTCGGGTTGCTGGGGTAGCAGCCTAAGTAGGGAGGCCCAGACTTCCCTCTCCCCAGCCACTTGTGCTAGCTCCTCCAGGGGAATCTCAAGGCCTTCCCAGGCCAGCCGAGAAACATAATCCCTCCAGCATGTCCTGTGTCTTCCTCTGGGTCTCCTCCCGGTGGGACGTGTTTGGAACACCTCACCAGGGAGGCGTCATGAGGCATCCTGCCCGATCCACCTCAACTGGCTCCTCTCAATGTGGAGAAGCAGCGGCTCTATTCTGAGTCCCTCCCGGATGACCAAGCTTCTCCCCCTATCTCTAAGTTAGTGTTTTGAAAGGATAATTATTTACAATTTATATTTTCCAAGAGCTGACCCGTCTCTAACTTTGCCTTTTAAATGAATTTTTAAAGACATTATTCATAAACTAACTATCTTGAGATGAAGCTTGCGCTTATGAAGACTGTAGTGAACCTGATCTGACCCTGATCTGACCCTGATGACCCCAAATCTATCAGATGGACAGGGACTGTTATTTCATTGATCTGAATACAGTCTGAGCCATCTGATGACTTTCTTTCTTGAATTAATCAAGCAGAAAAGACAATTCTCTATGATCATCACTGTTTACAAATGTTTGATAATCAAATGGTGTTAGTTCACTCAATGTTACAGGTTGAAAAGAACTACTCATTTTTATTTTACATAAACAGTAAGTAATGATTTTTATTCCTCATTCAAAGAAGAAATCAGGTTAATATGCATTTCTTGGTTTTCTGTCTGAAATGAGCCAAGTTTTGTAAGTATGTGAAAGGTCGGTTTTCGGTCAACTAAAATGTTTACCGAGAAAGATGTCATGTTTAAACTTTTTCAGAAGATTACCAAGTGTGAGACTCCAAAAAGTCTGAAGTCCTACAATAATCTTTCTGTTTGTTACTAAACAATCCTTGACTTTTAATAACATCTTACATCATAAACCACACCTCTATTCCTGGTCCATCGACCAATCAAAAGCTCTCAAATGAACCGGAAGTCGACCCATTTAAAATGTGGCAACTTCCCAGTTCATGTTAGAATTCAGGAGAATTCAGTAGAATTCCAGAGAATTCCAGAGCCTGAGGAGATGAAGAACTCCAGAGTTGCTGGAGTTGAAAGATTCTGTTAGAGTCTGAGAAGTTCTGAAGAATGAAAGGAGTTCAGAGTTCTTGGGTGCAAACGCGTTCAGGATGATCCAGAGACGTTTTGGGATTATAACTTCTGTTTGAACAAACCACACACGACTATCTAAGAATTTCAGCTGCTCTCAACGGAGACGCTGAAAAAGTCTGGAGGATTCTCTATCGAGCTGATCTACGTCAACCAGGTAACAGTCTCCTCTTCGACTAAAGTGTACCGGAGGCAAGCTGAGATCTGATGAAGCGTGCACGTTCTGGACAAACAGATTAATTCCCTCACATATCTCTCTGTAAGATAAATCTCCATTTCATCTTAAACTCTTCTCTCTCTTCTAAAATCAGTACAGATATCTTAGGAATATCTGAAGCAAAGTCCTCGATCACCGCCGAGTGATTCGAAGTTCATTTTCTGTGAAACTTGTCTGTTATTATTTTCATATTTTGCCAAATTAATGTAAATGTTTGATGTTAAACTTTGATTCTGAAAATAAATGACCGCATTCATTTTGATGGGTCAAAGATAAATAACGTCTCTCGTTACATTTCTGTTAAATTCAATGCACGACATTACACAGTCAGAAAGATGAGGAACTCGCAATATTGTATGCATATATATCTCATATATTGTCATACTACAACTGGTGGCACGTACGTACGTTTCCACTACAAGTCACAATGTAATTTCAACCCATCCCTTTAAGAACAAAATGTCATTTCCATGAAACTTTGCTCCAATTTTTGTTGATTGATTGTTTTAATTGATTCACTGTCAGTATTCACAAAACAAAGCAGAATCCTTGTTGTTTCGATTCAATTAATATAAAAAACACACAGGTAACAGGGGGGACAAAAAAGAAACTGGGGGGGGGGGGGTGCAGGATGTAACAGGGTGGACATCATACCAGTGAACAGCACAACATTTAATTCAAATAAGGCCAAGCGCTGCCGTCTCTTTTTGTATTTTTCTTTTCTTCTTTTTTCCCTGTTCAACGTGCAGTAAATAAGAATTTATGAAGGAAGCACAACCTTTTCTGACCCTCTCAAGTCCTCCCTGTTACATGTGTCCACCCTGTTAACATGGAAAATGTAGGGTTTTGTCATTTTCCTTCCACCAGGTTCCTGAAGGCAGGGACGGTGCTGATGAGCAGCCGCAGCTGAGGCCAAAATGGAATAAGCGGGTAAAGATAATGGATGGATGGATGAAAAATAAATAAAAGCATTTTCAGATCATAAAAGTAAATGGATGAGAACTATTACAAACAGTACTATTAAAAAACAATTTTTTATTATTGTATTTTTATTACTTACAATTGTAACTTAATTTCAGGAAGCATGAAAGGGGACTTGGCAGTAAACACAAGATGGATTTAAAATCAGATTTTATTATTTTTAAATACATTCATCTTGTGTACATGTGGTTACGATTTATGGTAGAGGAGAGTCAAACAATCAATCAACCTTTATTTATACAGGTAAATCCCATTGAGCCTCGAGGACTCATTTACAAGAGAGACCTGATTTCAACAAAGAAAGATGACAACAATGGACAACAGCAACAACAATAAGCTGTTATAAAAACTCATACTACAGTTTTTTTTTATTTTTTTTATTTTTTTAACAAATAGGATGGCTAAAAGGAAAAAGGTAACAAAACAAAAAACAGCTAGATTCCAAGACAAATGTATAAAACTAAAAACAGGAACATGTCTGCATTGGACCCTGCCAGGAGTCCAACAGATTCTTAAAGCCACTTAGAGAGGTCAAGGTCGAGAGCTTCAAATCTTTTTGTAAGATATTCCAGGAAACAGGAGCGGAGTAGGAGAAGGTCCTTTTGCCAAGTTCAGTCCGCACTGAGGGAACACTGCAGGTAATAATGTCCTGAGAGCGCACTCCGTAGCTGCACTCACACAGAGACATGTAGGAGGAGATGTATGAAGGCAACAGACCAAGAAGTGATTTAAAGATGAAAATATACCAGTGAGAGAGTCTGCGTGAAGTTAATGATGTCCAGTTAACCAGTGAATACAGGGTGCAGTGGTGGGTACGATAATCACAGCCAGTTATGAATCTTAGTGCACCATGATAGACAGCATCCAACATCTGCAGGGTTCTTGTAGGAGCGTTCATGTAAATAATATCACCAAAATCAATTGAGGGAAGGAAAGTCACAGATACATATAAGTAAACATATAACATATACATAAACACATAAACACATAAACATATAAGATGCGATTAATAAAATAAATATTATCCCACCTTTAAGCAAAATAGAACACATTATGGCATGGGGACTCAAAAGGCACCGAATAGTAGGAATGGAATGACCCAGCTGATAACATGTCTGCGCACGCTTACTTTACATGTTATTACACACCTACAGCGTAACATTTGGACTTTTTTTAGCACTGGAAGAACCTGAACGCACCACGTCCCACACAACGGCACGAGCTGCAGCCAAGTAAAGATTTTATATGATATTTATGAGCTGCAGGTAAAGAGTTAAAGAGACAGACCGGAAGTGCTCGGGCAAAGTTTTTTTTTTTTTTTTTTTTTTTTTAGTGCTCAGGCAAAGTTAGCCTGCAGACAGACTGACAGCCTGTAACCATGACTGAGGAGGACTTGTACATTTCATATAAAGGCATTAAGCTGCCTAAAATTGCCCACACTCCAGAGAGCCTCAAACACTTCGAGGAGTTCACCTTTCGTCCGGACGACGTGCTCATCGTGACGTACCCCAAGTCCGGTAAGTTTGACCCCGCTTGATGTTTAGTTCTCTGACTTTGAGCCCCACGCGCTTTGTTCAGGTGTTTCCTCACATTGTCCTGACGCTGCTCAGTAATCCAGGTAGATACGTCAGATCCTCTGGGTGGATTCTTCTTGTTGAAACGTTTCGTCTTTTATCCAAAAGAGTTTTTCAGTCTGAGTATCAACTAGAAGAATCCGTCCAGAGGGCCTGACTTAACCTGGTTAGGTGTTTGTAAAGTTACACAGTCAAAAATTAACAGCGATATTTTGGTTTATTTAGCATTTCATAAGAATAAAAAAAAAGTTTTTTTTTCTTTCAAAGTCATAGTTTCACCATGTCATTCAGACATTTATAAAATGTCATAGTTCCAAGCTAAATATTTTATTTACAAGCTAAATATTTAGTTTACAAACTAAATATTTATGTGATAGATAAATGCTTAATTTACAAACTAAATATTTAATTTCTAAGCTAAACATTTAATTCCCAAACTAAATATTTAATTTGCTAACTAAATATGTAGCTCAGACCTAAATATTTATTTTCAAAACTAAATATTTATTGTCCAAGCTAAATATTTAATTTCCAAACTAAACATTTAATTTCTAAGCTAAACATTTAATTCCTAAACTAAATATTTAATTTGCTAAGTAAATATTTAGCTCAAACCTAAATATTTTCCAAAGTAAATATTTAATTTCCAAAATAAATATTCAATTTGCTAACTATATATTCAACTTGCAAGTTAAATATTTAGTTTGTAAATTAAACATTTAGCTTGGACATAAGCATTTAATTTATAAACTAAATATTTAGTTAGCGTTAGCAAGCAAATATGTAGCTTGCTAACTAAATATTTAGCTTGCAAGTTAAGTATTTAGTTTGGAGTTTTGACATTTATAAATGTATGAATGACATGGTGAAAATATGACTTTGAAAAAAGAAAAACTATTTATTTCTTCATCCATCCATCCATCCATTTTCTTTACCCGCTTATTCCATTTTGGGTCACGGGGGTCGCTGGTGCCCATGTCCAGCAATCACTGTGCGAGGGGCGGGGTACACCCTGGACGGGTCGCAAGTCCATCACAGGGCCACATAGAGACAAACGAGACAAACAATCATTCACTCTCTCATTCACACCTAAGGACAATTTAGAGTTACCAATCAGCCTAACATGCATGTTTTTGGTCTGTGGGAGGAAACCGGAGTACCCGGAGAAAACCCACGCATGCACGGAGAGAACATGCAAACTCCACCCAGAAAGGCCCCTGGACCGGGGTTTGAACCAGGGACCTGCTCGCTGAGAGGCAGCAGCTCTACCAGTTGCGCCACCGTGCTGCCTATTTATTTCTTATGAAAGACTAATAAATAAACCAAAATATTGCTGTTAATTTTTGACTGTGTAACTTTACAAACAGCTTAAGGACTGTTTTCTTAGGAGCTGTTTCATAATGTGCCGCTTCGAGGCACATTAGTCAGATCTCACTGGTATCATGTTCCTTGTTTTCCTTCGCTCAAGGCGGGCCCTGCTTTCCACTGACAGCCTCTCTTTTATGTTCCTGTTCTGCCTCCTCCTTTTCTGGCTCCTGCTCCATCAGATTTCTTTCTGCACTGGTTGAAAGAATAAATCTGGTCCCAGGACAGACCTCTGGGGAACACCCTCGTATAAAGAAGACCTGAAGTCCTACCCTCTTGATCTACATCTAAAAGCATTTCCCATGTTATACAAATCTGGAAAGTGTTTTCTACATTCATTTTGAATTCCATAGGACTTTTAAGTTCACAACCAAATCATAACCATACTTTCAACATAGGGCAGCACGGTAGCGCAACTGGTAGAGCTGCTGCCTCCCAGCGAGCAGGTCCCTGGTTCAAACTCCGGTCCAGGGGCCTTTCTGGGTGGAGTTTGCATGTTCTCTCCGTGCATGCGTGGGTTTTCTCCGGGTACTCCGGTTTCCTCCCACAGACCAAGAACATGCATGTTAGGCTGATTGGTAACTCTAAATTGTCCCTAGGTGTGAGTGAGAGCGTGAATGGTTGTTTGTCTTGTTTGTCTCTATGTGGCCCTGTGATGGACTTGCGACCCGTCCAGGGTGTACCCCGCCCCTCGCACAGTGATTGCTGGACATGGGCACCAGTGACCCCCGTGACCCAAAATGGAATAAGCGGGTAAAGATAATGGATGGATGGATGGACTTTCAACATAAGGTTGCTGAACATCAGCTGCCGGTGAGCGCAGCGTTCATTATTATGGTAAATCTGAGTGAAAAGACTAAGATACCTGCACCCAAAATGCTCTAAAGGAAGGTGCTTTTGGATTAGACTTTAAAATTCACATTACCACAGGATAACACATTTTTACACAGTTTTAAAGAAGAAAAAAGTAATGTAAGTATATAATACAATGCATAGTAGTACAGTATGAGTGTTTGTGAAAAGTGTAGTGTAGACATTGTAGTACTTATAAATGTGGAGCTTTTGTTTACTGAGCTACCGTCTGTTGAAGGAAAACGGGTAATCTGACAATGAGCCAGGTATTTAATAGCAGGAAGCTGATTAAAGATGTTAATTTGCAGGCCTCTCTTGTAAAGGAGACTACTTGTCTTAATGAAATTCTTCTTCTTTGGCTTTTCCTTCTTTGCCACAGCAAGTCATCCTCCTCCATCTCACTCTGTCCTCACTCCAACTACCTCCATGTCCTCTCTAACTGCATCCATACTGTATATATACATATATGTACATATACCATATACTATATATATATTCTCTTTGGCCTTCATCTTTGTTTTTTTTTTTTTTCATGAAAGCTGCTTTTCTAACATCCTTCTACCAATATACTCACTGTCCCTTCTCTGGACATGTCCAAACCATCTCGGTCTGGTCTCTCTAACTTTATCTCCCAGTTGTTCAACCTGTGCTGTACCTCTGATGATCTCATTCCTAATCTTATCCAGCCTCGTCACTCCTGAAGAGAACCTCAACATCTTAATTTCTGCAACTTCCAGTTCATTCTCATGTTTTTTTGTCAATGCCACTGTCTTCAGATTATACAACATAGCTGGTCTCACCACTGTTTGTAAACTTTTCCTTTGACCTTTGCTGACACCCTTTTGTCGCAAATCAGTCCTGAAACTTTTCTCCATCCACTCCATCCTGTCTGGACTCTCCTTTTCACCTCTTTATCACATTCTCCATTTTCCTGGACAGTGGACCCCAAGTACTTAAGTCCTGCACCTTTGTGACCTCTGCTCCATGTAGCCTCACTGTTCCACCAGTTTCCCTCTCATTTACACTGTATTACTACGGCTGTTTTTTTTTCCTCTTTTTTTTTCAAATGCATACCTCCACCTCTCCAAGTTCTCTTCCACCTGTTCCCTGTTCTCATCACAGAACATAATGTCATCTGCAAATATCATAGTCCATGAAGATTCCTGCCTGACCTCATCTGTTAGTTGGTCCATCACCAAAGCAAACAAGAAGGGGCTCAGAGCTGATCCTTGATGCACTCCCACCTCCACCTTGAAGCTATCTGTCACTCCTACAGCACATCTCACCACTGTCCTGCTGTCCTCATACATGTCCTGTATCAGTCTAACATGTCCTCCTGTCTTATGTTTTTTTTTTCTAACTCCACAAAGACACAATGGAGTTCTTTCTGACCCTCTCTGTACTTCTTAATCAGCATCCTCAAAGCAAAGATGACATCTGTGGTGCTCTTTCTTAGCATGAAACCATACTGCTGCTTACATATAGTCACTTCTCATCTAAGTCTTGCTTCCACAACTCTCTTCCATATCTTCATCCTGTGACTCATCAACTTAATTTCCCTGTAGTTGCTACAACTCTGTACATCACCCTTGTTCTTAAAAATGGGCACCAGCACACTTCTCTTCCATTCTTCAGGCATTTCCTCACCCTCAGATATGCCATTGAATATTTGAGTCAAAAACCTCACTGTCATCTCTCCAAGACATTTCCAAACCTCCACTGTATGTCATCAGGTCCTACTGTCTTCCCCTTCATTCTTTTCAGAGCTTTCTGGACTTCACCCTCACTAATCTTTCCCACTTCCTGGTCCAGTTTCTATGACCTCTACTCTTCTTTCTCTTTTCATTCATTAGCTCCTCAAATTACTCCTTCCATCTTCCTGTCACACTCTCCTCACTTGTTAGAACATGACCATTCCTATCTTTAACAAGCCTAATCTGTTACACATCCTTTCCAGCCTGATCCCTCTGCCTTGCCAATTGGTACAAGTCCTTCTCGCCTTCTTTAGTGTCCAGCCTCCCATACAACTCATCATACACCTTCTGCTTTGCCTTTGCCACCTCCCTCTTTGCTATACGTCCCATCTCCTTATATTCCTCTCTTCTCTTCAGTCCTCTCTCTATCATTCATTCAACCATTATTTAGTCTCATTGAGCCACGTAGACTAATTTACAAGAGAGCATATTTTTTCTTGGCTAACCTTTTTTCTTTGAACAGTGTCCTGCTCTTCACTATTCCACCACCAGGTTTCCTTATCATCCATTTTCTGTCCAGATGACACACCAAGTACTTTCCTACCTATCTCTCGAAGTACAGTTGCTGTAGGAGCTCAGACATCTGGAAGCTCTTTCTTACCACCCAGAGTCTTTAACAACTCCTCTCAGAATTTCTTACAACATTCTTCTTTTCTCAGCTTCCACCATTTACTGCCTCAGGTTTCCTCTTTTACACATAATGTAGTCTACCTGTCTACTCCTTCCTCCATTCTTAGGTCATTCTATGTTCCTCCCTTTTTAGAAAATGGGTATTGACTACAGCCATTTCCATTCTTTTGACAAAATCCACCACCATATGTTCTTCCTGGTTTCTTTTCTTGACACCAAGCCTACCCATCACTTCCTCATCCCCTCTGTTTCCTTCACCAACATGTCCTTTCAGGTCTGCTCCGATCACCAATCTTTCCTCCCTGGGAATACTCAAAGCACTTCAGTCAGCTCCTTCCAAAATGTATCTTGCTCCTCCACATCACATCCAACCTGTAGAGCATAATTATTGACAACACTTAGCATCAGACCTTCTACCTTCAGGTACATCACTCTATCTGACACTCTTTTCACCTTTACTACATTCTTTTCCAACTCCTCCTTCAGGACCACCCCTACTCTGTTTCTTTCTATCTACACCATGGTAAAACAGTTTGAACATCCTCCAGTGCTGTGAGCCTTGCTGCCCTTCCACTTGGTCTCTTGGACATGTAAAACATCTACCTTCCTTCTCTGCATCATGTTAGCCAGCTCTATAACTTTGTCTGTCATTGTCCCCACATTTAGAGTTGCAACCCTCAGTCCTACATTCTTCACTTTCCTATTCTCCCTCTGTGTCCTGACACGTTTCCCTCATGTTCTTCGAATAACCATTGCACAATTTCCGCCGACACCATTTGTCAACACCAGTGGCGGTCGTTGTTAACCCGGGCCTCGGCCAATCCGGTATGATTTGCTTTGAAGAACTCTCTTTATAGTTTTAGCAAAAGTGTTTTATGACGGATGCCCTTCCTGCCACAAACCTCACCATTTACCCAGGCTTGGGACCGGCACAAGTGATACACTGCCTAGTGGCTGTTTTGAAATTACCTGAATTAATGAAATTACCTGTCTAAATTAAATTTATAAAATCAGGTTTAAGTGGAGCCAGCAACAAGAGCAACTGAGGACTCTACTGTATTTTCACGTTTTGTTATCAAACGTCAAAAAATGGGCCAAACTGGAGATGCAAGAAACCAAACAGGAGTGAACGTTGGAGTTGTCCACTGAGCTTTCTTTCATTCTAACGTCTGTCTAAAGTAAACCTGGAGGTGCAGCTCCTGAAGGAGATAACACGCATTGCCTGGGCATACTGAGAGGACAGCTCTGCGTAATGGTTGCATAGACCAATATGTCTTTAAGCTTCCTCTAGCCTTTCATAAATCACAGATTAAGCCAGCCACATCCCGCTCAGATGTGAGATTTCAGAAATGAAGTGTGCCAAGCAGAAGCAAAGAGGCGTGGAGCAGAACTCTGCTAGGCTGAATTGGAGCGTGATGCATTAAATGTGTGCCAGACGTGTTCCCTCGTGTCCTTTACTAAACATAACAAATTAACTCACTTTAGCTATCCTTTTTGTTATTAACTACTTTTTAAAACTAACTATGAAGTATCTGTTCCTCATCATCAAGATTTTCCCGGTAATCTGTTTCATTATTTAATCCGACGAGCGGGCGGTTGCAATCAGTTCATCACATTACTGAGCTGAGCTCCACTGTTTTTTTTTTTCTTTCTTTTTCACACATCTATCAACTCGACCCTGTTGCAACTTCGCTTGGAAACACGGAGGCGCATCAGAGGTAGGCTGCCTCCGACCCCCTCACCTCCTTCATGTGTTTTCTGAATGGACCAGTGTGGCCAGAACACCTCAGTCTCAGACTGAGGCATCTTGTGAATTTGCCAACTGTTGTCTCTGGCTTCCTAACAAACTCTTGCTAAATGCCATGCTTCGTACATATATTTGTGGTCACCCAGCAGCCAACACTGAGAATGAAATCAATTTGGAGAGGTATTCCCTGAAGGAGGATGTCCGGCAATCAGTTCATTATTCTATAGTCTGCTTGTGAACGTCTTCCGCAGCAGAACGATTTAAACACGAGCTAAACTCCTCCACAGACTCCAGACTCCAGCCATTTCAAATGGTTGATTGCAGTTCTTGTGGCACTACCTGTTAAGTTTAAAGGACGTTCCACATTAGGCCTCTTCATACAGAGTGAAGTATCTAAACACCAACTGATAAATCAGCAGATATCCAAAGAAGCTAGCACAATTCCATTCAAAAATGCTTTATTAATCCCAAAGGGAAAGTAAGTGTTGTCATAGCTCTTCATCCTGGTTTCATTCTAGAGTTGTTATAGATGCTGATAGATGTGGGCAGGAAGGATCTTCTGCAGCGAATCCGAAGAATCTGGCCACAGATACTGATCCATCCACACGGATCCAACTTGCTGTCAGATCCAGCGAGCCTCTCAGTCCTCCTGGGCAGCAGGACTGCCCGGAGGCCTGGCAGAATTCCTCCCTGAACGATGATCACTCGTCCCAGCAGCCTGCCGAGCTCCTCGTCGCCACTGACAGCTTCAGGAACAGCTCCAGGATCTCGGCGGTCAGGTACTCGAGCACTGCCGCCAGGCTGACGGGAATTCGTCCATGGCACCTCCTTTTCAACTCATTTGGGATTGTAGTTGAGGTATTTCAGCTTTTGAGATGTTAATCAGCTGCTCCTGGTTATTACAAAAACACATTGTTGCCATGGTTACGCATCATAACAAATGCCCAAAAGTAAAAAGGTTTCAGTAAAAATCCTTCCAGCTGCACAGTTTCTGATACCAGAGGAAGTAATCATCTGAAAAAAGCGATTTTCATCCAGACAAAAGAGGAATTAAAGTTTTCAAAAGCAATAACTCAGAATTAATGTAACAGAGCTACTCCAACATGCAGCCACCAATTCAATTCTACAACCCAATTCAATGCCTCATACATGTACATGGTGCCATAATCTGCCACCATCAGACAAAGCACCACAACCTCACAACAGAAGCTTTGTTCATGCTCAAAGCCAGCGTGGACCATCACCAACTTTTACACAGAAAAGAGACGACTACGTTCCCACTTCACTACGATCCTCCAAAGACCAACGTTTTGGTTGATTCCTGCATGTTCTTCGGCTCCGCTGTGGGATGGACCTTAAAAATAAATCTTTCCGCCTACAGTAACAATAACATCTCTTAATGAAACGAGGATGATGATTTACAACAACATTTAATTTCCCTTTGGGATTAATAAAGTATTTTTGAATTTAATTTAATTTGATTTGGGTCCTCTTTCCACCAATGAATCAGAATCAGCTTTATTATCATTGCACAGTAAGTACAGCGAAATTATGTTCCGTACAGCCGTCCAAAAGATGGATGGAAGTGTACAGGGGCTGCAGCGTCTACGAAGAGCTGTCCTTATTTTATTTTAGTATGTTTATGAGTTAAAATAGAATTTTTTTTGCATACTTGTTGAACTGTTTCCTGTTTGTTGTTCTTGACTACAGTGACATATTTTTTAACCAAAGTTTAGGCCCTGGTATTGTTTGTTAAAGCATAGCTTTTTATGAGACAAATTCAGAGTATCAAAAATAAAACAAGACCCCCAGTTTATTTTACTCTGTCAATTTTGGAGATAATGTTATACATTTTATACTCTTATTAAAAAAAAAATTGTCTGCAGTGACAAAATAATTCAGCATGTCAGTGGTGTCATCAAACGATCTGAAACATAAGATGAAAACAGGAATGTGATATTAATAATGCTCAAGTGTTTCTTCTGTGTAGGCACAACCTGGATGCAGGAGATTGTCCCTCTGATTCTTAGCGGAGGAGATCCAGCCTCAGTTGAGACTCTTCATAACTGGGACCGTGTCCCTTGGCTAGAGGAGCATCGAGCTCTGGTTCTCAACCTGGAGGACAGACCGTCCCCACGCATGTTCACAACTCATTTTCTCGATGACATGATGCCAGCATCTTTCTTTGCAGTAAAACCAAAGGTACACAAGTCAGTTTGTGTCGCGCATCATTGTTGTGTTGTAAAGGTTTTCCAATAGAAACAAAAAGCCTTCCGTAGTCTTAAAGTATCTGTGTCTGACGCTAAACCATTTCATCATTCAGTGAGCCAGGAGGATTCTAACGTGACGTCATTTGTTTTTCTCCTCACAAACAAATGACCAGTCTTGTTTCCTCTAACTGTGCAAGTCATTTGGTGACGGTTCAAGTTAGCTGTACACATTTGCGCCTGATGACATGTATGGATATAAATCAGTCTCAAGTTACAGGCATACAATGAGATTTGTGTGCGTACAGCAAGATCCACAAGCCTACCACAAGTTTTACAAATGTGTACTACAACATTCACAAATGCATAAACAGTTTTTCCTAATGTATACTGTGCATACAAATAGTCAAATACACGTGCACAAATCGCCTGTAGGTTGTGAGCTGTTGTGCCAAGTTAGAAATGTGTATTTTCCCTTTAACTTGGTTAACACTCAGATGTCCCAGCTTTTTACCAGCCTTGAATGCAACATTACCTTGATGAATCTGGAAGGTAAGGAAGTCTCAAGTCACATTCACAGACAGCTGATCCGTGCACAGCAGGTGATTTGTGCACGTGTATTTGATTGTATGCACAGAATATTCCTACAAGAAACTCCGAGATTGAGTAAATTAATCTCATTCAGTGCTTTTACATCTAAACTAAAAGTTATGGAGGCCAATTCAGTGGCATGTACCTGTTTTTAATACTAGCTTGTTTTATAGTACCTGTTTTTAATACTAGCTTGTTTTATAGTACCTGTTTTTAATACTAGCTTGTTTTATAGTACCTGTTTTTTATAGCTTGACATTTTCTCTTAACTGTGTTTTGTTGTTTGTTTGTTTTTTTGCATATTGTCTTTGTTGCTGCCTCTTGGCCAGGACACCCTTGGAAAAAAGAGTGTTTTAATCTCAATGAGGGTTTTTATCCTGGTAAAATAAAGGTTAAATAAAAAGTAAAATAAAAATTCCTTCTTGTGCAAATTGAAATGTGTACATTAGAAAAACTGTATGTATTTGTGAATCTTGTAGTACACATTTGTAAAACTTCTTGTATGCTTGTGTGACACTTTTGAGACTGATTTCTCTTCACGTGTCTCAAAAAGAGACTCACACCTGTGATTACATGTGAGCACGTTTGGTTTCCTGTCCATTTCCAGTTTTTGTGCGATCAGGTTGAATCATAGTTTTTCAGTCAGGGGAACACTGTGTACAGAAAATAAACGTTGGTCTATGAAGTGTTTGATTACCCTCAAATAAGACCAAATAGTTTGTCTTAAATTTATTGGTGGGATTCACTGGATTTTTTTTCAATTTTATTCCAACATTTACTTATATATCCATCCATCCATCCATCCATCCATCCATCCATTATCTTTTACCCGCTTCTTCCATTTTGGGTCATGGGGGTCACTGGTGCCCACATCCAGCAGTCACTGTATGAGAGGTGGGGGACACCCTGGACAGGTCTCCTGTCCATAACAGAGACACATAGACAAACGAGACAAACAACCATTCACTCTCTCACTCACACCTAGAGACAATTCAGAGTTACCAATCAGTCTAACATGCATGTTTTTGGTCTGTGGGAGGAAACTGAAGTACCTGGAGAAAACCCACTTGTACAGAGACAACATGCCAACTCCATCCAGAAAAGGCCCCCGGCCGGGATTTGATCCGGCGTCCTTCCCGCTGAGAGACAGCAGCTCTACCAGCGGAGCCACTGTGCCACCGTACTTATATTATGTATATTATTAAGTTTACTCATTCAGGTGACCAAACAGTGGCCTTCATATTGGATATAGAAACTGCAGGTGTAGGGCAGTTTTATAGTAATTTTGATTGATTGCTTCTCCTTATATCTACCAACCTCAATAAGGCCATCGTTAGTGGGATGACAACCCACCATGACCTAAGAAGTTATCCAGAATGTAGCTTAAAGGGTCCAGGCAAAGGTTTGGCTCCTCAGTCCTGTGCATGATGGGTTGTTATGAGTTGTGAGCATAGGCGTCGCAACCATTATATGTGAAGGGGACAAGTCCCCCCCCCCACATTCCAAAAACGTTCATTTGGACCACCCCCACTTTTACTATGAAACATTAGTTCAGGCGGCGCAGTTTCTCTTTCTTCGTGAACGAATCCATTCCACTTGATTAATAGGAGAATACTCAAGCCACTAAAACTCCACTCCAGGTTTTCTTGGTTACCTCCAACTCTAAACACAGCAGCTTGTTGCCACGGTCACAATATACGGTGGTCACAGAATATGGTGTAACACCTGCAGTGTTTCTGTGCATCTCCTCCTGCTTCAGCAGAAAACGCACACATGTGGAGGAGATGGAGACACCTCTGTGTTACTCGCTCGCCAGTTTAGCAGCTTTGTGCTGGCAGTTGTTGACCGGGGGGTTGATCATAAACATATAATCATGTTAGGAGGATGCTTGAGAGAAGTGGAGCGCTACGTCTGTAGCATGTTAGCTTAGCAGTAACTGTGTAAGAGATGCTGTGTGTTCAGGTGCATTAAAGTTGAAATGTCTTTAAAACCCCACACCTTATTGTCCTCAAGCTTCATGAGAAACATCATTTAGATGAGTAGTGTTGAACACAAGTAAAAAAGTCTAGTGATGATGTTTTTTATTTCTCTATAAAGACAAATCGTGCCGACCTGACGCTCTGTATTAAAGTTAAAATGTCTTTAAAACACACAGCTGAATTTACACGAACTTGATGAGAAACATGCTTTAAATGTGTGGAATTACAGGAAATCTAAGTGAAATGTTGCTTTTTTTTTGTTCACTGGTGAACACCTTTTTTTTAACGCGCGCGCACACATCATTGTGTCCCCCCACATTACGGATGCTTCTGACGCCCTTGGTTGTGAGGATGCACAAGGCTTGCTGCCTTATGACTGCCTTCACACTAACAAGGTTTTCTAAACGTGTCCTTATCCAGTGTGGGTCTGTGACTTGTCAGATGATGAGAATGTTAAAGGGATCCATGTTAAATATGTTGTAATTTTCCTACTAACTTAAAAAAATTGCTGTTTGTTATATGTAAAAACTCATGATTACTTCAAAAACATATATTTTGTCATATTTTTCACCTGCGCAATGCATGCTGGGTTGATGATGCCGGTGGGTCCCTTCTGTACTGGAATCTACAGAGTAAACACAGGAAGGCTAACATTACTAGGGTGCAGAAAATAACAGATTTATTAAAGAATCTAGACTCCTAGACCTGATGATTCTGAATTGATTCTAAAGGCACATAAATTGATTTTAAAATGCGTATTTTTTTTGTTTTTCCTGCTCCTACTCCCGAGTGTACTGCATATCACATTACGTGTCCGCTCAGCCACAGTAGAATTTGGACCACCGTACATCAAGCTAGTTAGCCAGCTCCCTTTATCTGAATGGAGACCGCTATCATGGAGCGGAGGACAGCGCGATTCAACCCACTCCTTCGTCGTTAAGTCAGAGTAAAGTCCTTTCATATTCTACAATGTTCCGGGGAAGACACAGCTTGACAAGGGCACGGTTGTTTGCAAGAAGTGTAAAATAAAAATGCGGTAATGTATTTTGGAAATACGACAAATGTGCGGAAGGAAGACGAAAAGCGAAGCAGCAGACCAACGAACTCTGTAACAAACTTCCAGCTAATTCCCCAAAGGTTGTGAAGATTTCCCACTCCATCGCCTGTTGCTGTGTATCTCAATAAATTATGACCAGACAGCTCAGTGAAAAGTGAGGGGTTTAGGCTTTATTTTTACTATGCTGGAGTACGTTATTCCTTCATGTAGCTTGTAGCGATAAAGCAGCACCACAACTTCACCATGAAATAATAAAGTTGGAGAAGCTCTGATTAAAGCTACAAGCTGCCGCTCGCAGGTAACTGATTTGTTCTCATAATATACAAAAACTTAAATGGACAAGTCATAGAAAAAAACTTAATGTAATTTGTCATTTTAACAGGTTGACGAGACGCCAGATGAGACACATCGCCTGGAGCCAGTTCTAAATGATACAATTTATGGTTTATAAATTACAGTTCAGAAGAGTTTTTGTGCAGGTTTGCACAGGTTTTGGAATTTTGTTAAAGATTTACCAAATATGAATCGAAGTCTGTATATTTCATATTCGTTTAAGTTTTGAAATGTTGCAAATGTTAGTGCAATATGGTTTAAAAAAAACAAAACTGGACGGAGCTAGCACTACAGGACCTAGCATATGTCATTTACCCAGAATGCATTGCAGCGTAAAAACATGGTGACGTCCATGTGACAATATTTTATTTAAATTTATAAAAACTAAACCGTCTACAATATTTTTACTGTATTGTTTTTACGTCTAAAATGAATATTTCTCAAATAAAGTCTATTGTTACAACTAATCGTGGATCCTTTTGAGTGCAAGTGGTTAGCACAGTTTTGGACGTGGTACAAGCAACAATATTTCAAATTAAACGCCCAACATTCACAGCATAAATGCATAGTGCACACCTTCTTTCATGAGTTCTTAACCAAGATCATCTTATGTTAAGAAATGATTGAGTTGGAGCCATTCCGGTGAAATCTTACCAGTTATACGGTATCTTACACAACATTGTGAGATTTTGCACCTTTTGCCTTTTGGTAGTGGACAATGACAAAACTACAGTTAAAACAGAAAAGGTTGGAATATTTGTTCTGACGACCAAAACGGATAAAGTGTTCAAAATGTTCTGTGATGTCTGCAGGTGATCTACGTCATGAGGAACCCCAAAGATGTGTTCACGTCTTTATTTCACTATCATGTTATGGCGTCCTTCCTGGTGAATCCAGTCCCACAGAGCGAGTTCCTCCACAAGTTCCTTGACGGACGAGGTTGTCTCCTTTTCATACAGTTCACCTATAATATGAGGCTAAACAATACCCTGGCTTATAGTGTAACTGTACTTTATAAGCAAGAGCAAGATTAGCGTGAATCTTATTTCCTTCTTTGCCCCATAGCTGTATGGCTATATGACATGTTCCTGCTAAAGGCTAGATATGTCCCTTTGTTGTGATTAAGGAGGAGAAAAATGTAAAAATGAGACTTTTACACAAAGTTCCCATAATATAGCAGCAAAGTTGAAAAATATCTCTTTTAACCTTTGTATGTATGTATTAATGTTATAGTTTTTTCCCCCCCCACTTATGATTTTTAAGGGATCAAAGCAATTAAATTTCGTGGTGGAGGTGTAAAGCAAGTTAGAAATGGGATTTACCCTTAAAAGGACTGTGAAGATTTACTGAGCTTGGGAACATTTGACAATAACTTTCTTATCTTTTAGTTGTATTTGGCACGTGGTTTGACCACGTAAAGAGCTGGCTGAATGTTGGCGAGGGCCAGCAGATGCTGTACATCTCCTACGAGGAGATGGTGAAGGTGAGAGCCGAGTGCCGTTTCTACACAAGACTAAGCGAAAGGGTCACCAAACGAGACCTGCGCTGCGTTTCTGTGCTGCAGGACCTGAAGGACTCTGTGAGAAGAATCGCTCAGTTCCTGGAGAAGCCGCTGGATGCTGAGGTGGTAGAGCAGATCGCCAACAGGTGTTTGTTTAAGAACATGAAGAAAAACAGCATGTCCAACTATTCAGTGGTTCCATGTGAGATCATGGACCAGACAAAGTCTGAATTCTTCAGGAAAGGTACGTTTGATTGAATAATATTAAAGGAACATCTTAATGAAATCCTAAATCTGCACCTGTAGGATGAAAGTTTCATGCTGTATTTGTCGACAAAAATGAAACAATTGACTTTTAAAGAACATAAACTGAACAAAGCTATAAATGGTAAATGGACTGTACTTGTATAGCACCTTTCTAGCTGATCAAGATACTCAAAGCTCTTTACAATCTGTGTCCTCATTTACCCATTCATACAGCTAGATCATACTACACATATATACTATATACATACTAGATCTGTACAGAGAATAATCAGTGCTTTATCACATTCATACATTGATGGGACACATCAGAGGCAATGAGGGGTTCAGTGTTTTGCCCAGGGACACTTCAGCATGTGACTGCTGGTGGAGTTCAACCCCCAACTCTTGCATTGGAGGACGACTGGTCTAACCACTCAGCCACAGTCACACCCCCCCCCACACTTTTGTTTCTGCTCCCATTTTTCATGAACTGAACTGAAAGATATAAGACTTTTTTTTTTTTGTTAAATAAACACAACAAGCCTTTTTCTCTTTAATATTATCAGAATAAGCTTTATGTCGTACCGAGTTACATTGAGACTATGTTCGTACAGTCGTCCAAAAGATGGACGGAGTGCACGTTGCTGCTGCTACAGGAGCGCGGCCTCTTATCCTTTATCAGAATACTTCTTAGGTAGAAAAAGGTGAAAGGCCATGAGGATGGATAGTGGTAATATAAAAAAGACCTCTTCACATCTTGTCCTATCAGGACACGGTTTAAAACATCAAAAAAACTCTTACCAGCAAGCACATTTATGAACACATTACATATGCATTTGACGTCAAGATGGTGAAATCTGTCCATGAAGCACTTCCAGATAGGCCATAGTCCTGATAAGATGTTGGTCAGTCAACAGTTCTGATAAGCCTGCACAGACAAAGCTTTTTCTTAGTTTACCCATGTCCCAGGGGAAATTTGGTAGTCAGCCTTCTTTCGAGGCCAAATGGAGGAGTCAGATTCAGATAAGCCATAAATGTTTTCTTCAGGCAGACTGTTTTATTTTCTTGTCAGCCTTCTGTCCTGCTGGTACTTTGGATTCAAAATGGTCTGATTTGTGGGCATTCCACTGATCCGTGCTGTGAGCCTCCTTCAAGGTTGTCGCCAACATGCTGGCGAGTCCTAGAAGCCGCAGGTGGCCTGCGATTCTCACAAATCACTTCCATCTTATGGTTTAGCTCATAAATCAGCTGATTTTGAGTATTCATAGCACAAACCAAACCTTCACAAGCAGGCAGCCAGACGAGGGCCAAATAAGCTGCAGACGTCTTCTTTGTATGTTGATAAACCAGGAACCAGACGATTCTTAAAAGCAGGAACCTGTTATCATAAATCCAATTATATTAGTCTTCAGCGTCCTCCTGAGACAAAATTGAGAGATGCTTCAGTTCCCACATCCATGACGTGTCCTGCAGCGTGAGTCTCAGAGGGACGTGAGGGCTCTATAGGCCACTTTCGCTTTGTTGAAAATATTTTGTTGATTACTTTGAAAGTCCAGCTCATCAGATCCATAATGGTATTTTTGGTTCTGAAGGTATGTAACAGGAGCTCCGAGACACAGAGAGCAAAAAAGCAGGAGGAAGAGGAGAACAGAGGAGGGAGAGAAAAGTCGTCCGCCTTGTGCGAGAGCGAGTGCAGAAACAAATTAGTTTAAATATGTGTTAGTGAAATAATCCGTCCACCTCCCAGGTGTGGCATATCAAGCTGCTGATTAGACAGCATCATTATTGCACAGGTGAGCCTTAGGCTGACCACAATAAAAGGCCACTCTAAAATGTGCAGTTTTATCACAGCACAATGACACAGATGTTCTGATGGAGCAGCAGCTGTTGACTGCAGGAATGTCCACCAGAACTGTTGCCCGTGAATTAAACGTTTATTTCTCTTCCATAAACCGTCTCCAAAGCTCCACAAGAGATCATGTGAGGTGGTTGGATTATCTCACTAACACGAATTTGTGAAGATTTAAGAGCAAAAGTCCTGTTCATAGAAAAAGTCTCAGATGTTTTGAGTTCAGCTCACAAAAAATGGGAGCAAAAACAAACAGTGTTGCATTTATAGTTCTGTTCAATGCAGTTTGACAAATTTACGTCAAGGGATTTATGATTTCCTTTGTGTTTTCTTTCAGGAGTAGTTGGCGACTGGCAGAACCAGCTGACGGCAGCAGAGGCAGAGTACTTTGATGCTGTTTACAAAGAGAAGATGAAAGATGTGAAGTACACGTTTCCATGGGATTAAACCCGGCTGCATGCGAGGGCTTCTGAGGGTCCTTAATAGCTAAAATTATCCAGTCTTTTAAAGCATTCAATGAGTATTTTAGCCATTTTGCTGTGAGATTACAATTATCAATCATTAAGAATTAATATCTTACCTGCTGTAGATGGCTCTTTGGACAACATTAGTTTGGCAAAACCAAAGGGTCTTTCAGGAAACACTTGAAACTGGAACGTGGATGCCTTCTGGCAACCTTGGTGTGATTCATGCATGGATCGAGGCAGTGATGGGGGATGAAGCTAACTCATCCATCCATCCATTTTCTTTTGCTTATCCGTGGTCGGGTCATGGGGGTAGCAGCCTAAGTAGGGAGGCCCAGACTTCCCTCTCCCCAGCCACTTGGGCCAGCTTCTCCGGGGGAATCCCAAGGTGTTCCCAGGCCAGCTGTGGTCTGTTTGACCACACGATCACCGGATTAAACAACTGCTTCATTACTCAGGGATGATGGATGATGACCCTTAGCAACTTTGTATTTCCATCCATCCATCCATCATCTTCCTCTTACTCCGAAGTTGAGTCTTGGGAGCAGCATCTTGAGCACGGAGGCCCAGACATCTCTTTCCACAGTCACCTCTTCCAGCTCTTCTGGGAGGACCCCAAGACATTCCCAGGTCAACCGAGACATGTAGTCCCTCCAGCGTGTCCTGGGTCTTCCCCGGGGTGTCCTCCCAGTCAGACATGCCCGAAGCACCTCCCTAGGGAGGTGCCCAGGGAGCATCCTTACCAGATGCCCAAACCGCCTTAGCTGGCTTCTCTCGATGTGGAGGAGCAGCGGTTCTACTCTGAGTCCCTCCCGAATAACTGAACTTCTGACCCTATCTCTAAGGGAGAGTCCAGCTACCCTGCAGAGGAAACTCATTTCAACCGCTTGTATCTGCAATCTCATTCTTTCAGTCACTACCCAGAGTTTGTGACCATAGGTGAGGGGAGGGACTTAGACCGACCAGTAAACCGAGAACTTTGGCTTACAGCTCAGCTCCCTCTTCACCACAACGGACCAGCACAGAGTTCACAATACTGCAGATGCTGCACCAATCCATCTGTCAATCTCATGCTCCTCCATTCTTCCTTCACTTGTGAACAAAACCCCAAAATACTTGAAATCCTCCACTTGAGGCAGAACCTCACTCTCTTTGTATTTAGTTTTTTTTTTAAGTATTTACCCACAGAGAGAATTCCAACAAAGTAAAGTCTGTTCCTCTGGACAGTTTCTTTTTGTTGAGACGTCTCATCTTTCATCCAAAATTCTTCATCAGTCCGAGGAGCCACAACAAATCCAGTCTTATAAATAGCACCTTCTCATAGTGGGCCATCCAGTTTGATGATGCTCAGATGGTTTCTGGAGTCCTCCCTCTCCCCCGTCGACTCGTTTGATGCAGTCATGGCCAAAGTGGTTCAGAACATCCAAATTCATGCTCAGTAATCCAGGTAGAAAAGACTGAGTTTGTTGTGGTTCCTTGAACTGATGAAGTCTTTTGGATGAAAGACGAAAAGTTTCAACAAAAAGAAACCATCCAGAGGACCTGACTGGACTTTAATGGATTTTTCAACCTGGATTATCGAGCATGAATCTGGATACACAGAGAGAATTGTTAAACTGAGTGAAGTTGCATGTTTTACAAACTATATGAGGGAGGTGTCAGTCACAGATTTAATGTGTTGGGCTTCATGTCAACACAGCTGAGTTCTGCTTCACGCCTCTTTTGGTGTCACAATGCCAGTTTTTAACGTGTCTCCACCTCTGATTTCTGGTCAGAGACAGCATAAAGATGGACTGGTCTTAGCAGCCATTTCACAGAAATGTTTTCTGAAACAGCCTATAGTTTATTCTGACGAGCTAGTGGCTAGTCTGAACACAACCATTTACATCATCGTGAGTTGAGCAACATTATTTCCATAGCATTGAATGGTTGAATGCAGGCACAGCCGGCAGAAGCTTCAGAATCTGAGCAGCCTGGTCTGAAGTTCAACTGAACTTTAATAACATGTCTGCCAAAATAAAACAATATACATAAAATTATATGTAAATAAGTGTACAAGATGAAACTTTCTACAGCGTCATGGTTAAGGAAATGGTGCTGGCATTAACTATATATACATTTATTCATTCAACCTTTATTTAGACAGGTTAATCCCATTGAGGACTCATAGAATGGAGAAGATTAGAGTTGTTTTTAAATGGCAGAAAACCACTTTAGTTTGGGCTGCATGTGTTTGACTGACTATAATAGTAGTTGTGGTAGCTGGAAATGGGCACCAGTGACCCCCGTGACCCGGAAAGGAAGAAGTGGGTAAAGATGATGGATGGATGGTGTCCCGATCTCTTGAAGCCAGCAGGACCTGTAAGCTGCCATGTTGTGTGGAGCATTAAGTTCTGTTTACTCTGTCACATGGCCTTATCTTAAGCATGAAACAACTATTTACAACTTAACATACTACAAAAATATACAATAATTATCATTTTGTTCACTTGTTAGTTGTCGAACCTTTTTATTTTTCAAACTAAAATTAATAGATCTACAACGGGTAAGATGTTACCTGTTAACTGACTGAAGTATAATTTCAACATAAAAGTAATTGATTTTCAGCTAATTATTGTGCTTTTGCAGTCCAAGCTGTCGTGCTGAGCTGCTGCCCAGAAACAAATGGGGTTAAAGGACTGATGAGGTTCAGGGGGACTTGATGTTGGAGGAAAGGAGCTTTTCACATGGCTTAGTGATCAGATGTTACAAATATTTTAGGAATGTTGTCCTTTTTAAAAAAATATCACAAAAGCAATATTTCAAGTGAATTCTGTATTTTAGAAAGTGGAGAAGAGGAATGTCCAAGGTGGAAGTTCAGAGAAGCATCTCAGAGTGTATGCAGATGGACCTTTCATGGCTAAATCACCAAAGGCAACATATCATTTCTAAAGCTTCAGCCTTGCTGTGCTGTAAAGTGACGTGTTGCAGCCAGCTGTTATCTGCTAAAAGTCTTTAGATGAGAAAAATATGACAACAAAACCTCAAACTGAGCAGCTGAAATAAAATTTAAAAAGCCACTGCTGCTTTTCTTTGTACCCACAAGCTTACAGATAAAAGTTGGAAGCAGTTTAAACATGTCTGGGCTGTTGGTGCATGTTTTGTTACTGTGGCTACGTAAAGAAAAGAAGGAAGGGAGGGAGAGCAGGTCTTTAACAGACAAATCAAATGTGTCCAGATGTGGTGGCTTTAAATCCTACTAGTTCAAACCAAACAGGTTTATTTTGATTTAAAGGCGTGTCCAACATTTAAAACATTTAACAGTTTAATTAAAACCTTTTAAATGGGTGTAGTTTTTACAATGTCGTATAGTTTGTGTTGCTCACATGAGACTTGATCTAAATAAAGATGGAAAATGTGAACTTGTCTTTTTTCTTCCCAATATGTGCTTTGTTCCTACACATTAGGCACCAGTCGTTTATTTTCCTGCGTTCAGTTTAATTCGGTTCATTAACTTGTTTAATATCTTTTGACCCGTGGGTGAGACGTAGACCTCGCTGTGGGTGTATTGGTAGAAGGGTGTTAGAAATGCAGCTGCCAGGAAAAAGACGAGGAGGAAGATATATGGATGCAGTTAGAGAGGACAGAATGAGGACATGTCTCACTTATAAATGAGTCTTCGAGGCTCAATGTGATTTATCTGTATAAATAAAGGTTGAATGAAAAAAGAGGATGCAGAGGACATTGAGGGCAGAGTGAGATGGATGAAGATGACTCGCTGTGGAGACACCTGAAGGGAAAATCTGAAAGAAACATAGCCCTCACAATAAGAGAGAGTATCAGTGAGATGCTGAGTGATGCGTTTTTTATTGTCTTTAAAAAAACCACTTGAACATTTTTTTTATTCATTCAATCTTTATTTAAACAGGTTGGTCTCATTGAGCCTCGAGGACTCATTTACAAGAGAGACCTGATTTAAACAAAGAATGATGGCAACAGTAGATAATCATATAAAAAGCATATAAAATGAAAAGAAACGGCTACGTTATAAAGGAGGAGCCTGATAAGTGAAAGATCTTCCTTCCATTCTGCTTTTGGAAACTCTAGGAACCACAAGTTGCAGGTTTACTTGTGGTTCCTAGAGTTTCCAAAAGCAGAATGGAAGGAAGATCTTTCAGTTTTCAGGCTCCTCTTTTGTGGAACCAACTTGCAGTTTCTGTCCGTGAGGCTGACACATTGTCCAGTTTTAAGACTGGGCTTAAGACTTTCCTTTTTGATAAATCCTATAGTTAGGATTAGCTTGTTATGCAGCCTTAAGCTTAGACTACTAGAGGACAAATTGACCTCATTTCCTTAAATTAATTGTTAAAATTGAATAGTTTTCGTTTGATATTATTTCTATCTTAACGTGATTCTCGACCTGCCATTGTGTATCTGTTCTTCCTTCCTGTTCCTCTCAAACCCAGCCGGTCAAAGCAGATGACATCTTGTCCTGAGTCTGGTTCTGCTAAAGGTTTCTTCCTCATGAGGGAGTTTTTTCTTTCCACTGTCGCCTTCATGCTCAAGATGAGAGTCTGTGATGAGTTAAACTCAAAGCAGTCTGCTCCTCAGATAAATAATGTTAAATTATTATTTTTATAAATATGAATGTTTCTGTTCAGTGACCTGAGACGATGTCTTTTGTGACTTGGTGCTATATAAATAAACTGAATTGAGTCTATATGTCTGCTACACTTTGTTTTTACACAGCTGTTTAATTCACAGACAGATAGATATGAAACTATATAAATATGATCATATATAAATGTATATACACACATGCATATCTACATATATACTCATATATTATTTAAATATATATATATATATATATATATATATATGTATATAAAAGATATATTGGTGTTTATATGTTCATCGATGTGATTAATCAAAATCAATTAAATGTGAATGTTAGTGTTCTTTATTCAGAAAATTAACACGTCACATTTCAGGATCTGGTTA